TCCAATAGTCTTCTTTATGACATCCAATTTTACGAATCAATTTCGCACTCGTATGCTTGCACAATGAAATGCAGGCAGAATGGACTAGTCAATCAACTTCTGCTTTTAGAAACCTGTCAACTCGCATTGTGCTTCTGCGCGTACTGATTGCCGGGTAACTACCACTGAAACTTGAATAACTATGCAGTATTAATCCCAAGCTGCATACGCAATTCCCGGCTGTAGCTTAATGTTACCAGCAATGCAAGCCTCTTTGTATAACCACAAAACAGCTTACGTAATTAAGTGGTAATTAACTAAACATATGCATATGAAACGCACGGTATTGTTAGAGAACCTAGCTATTTCCACAATAAAAATTGACTTGGAATGAATTTTGTCTGCACTTGTCGGCACTAGATTGAATTAAAACACATATTTAGCGCAAAAACACATTACAGCGAAGAAAATATTATGATAAGAAAAAATTATAATCTTTAAACGCGTGAAACTCTTTGTGTAAGTGTGAGTTAGAATAGCAAATAAATGTGTAATATGATTTTTCTTACATCTATTTTTCGATATCTTTATCAAAAAGCAGAGAAACATGCAAATTTTCTCTTCTGCAATGATTGATGAAAAGCTTCTGATGGATGTTGCAACAATACGACAATATCGCGATAACAACTGCCAGTACTCTCATAACTCAAAAGCGCTGCTATACGATCTATACGTTAATATGAGGTGTTAGAGGAAAGCTCTCTGGTCAGAATTTGCGCGCATTCCGAGAATTGGGACGTGTCATTGCCTAGGCAACGGAATAGCAAACCGTGGTACTCGACATCACATTCGGACCGAGAAACACGGAGCCAGTGCTCTTCTAACAACGACGCACTTACACATCACTTAGGTACTCCGTGAAAAACGGAAGTCGGTCATTCAAGAGCGCCGCCAGGATGCAAGAAAAGTTCTTTGAAGCGCGAAAAACTGGATCTTCGCGTATTTGCCCATATAGAAAACTTTTGCAATTCTTTCTTCTGAACTTTTCTGATCTTTTCTCTTCCTTCTCGTCTTACATTATCTGTTCATTATCTAACAATGTTAGAACGGAAAAGCGAGTAAAAAAAAGAAAATACAACATGTAAAAAATTTTTATATAGATGGATAATGTCAAACAAATAAAATATAGTTTCTGATTTATAATAAATTACGCATATTATTTTTGTTTCTAATTCATTTTTTCACTCTAAAATCTATTTTAGACGATATAACTCGCGACAGAATATGAGATAAAAATCTATAAATATTATAGCTTTCCAACATTATAAATAAATTTCCAGTTTGAATTTTGTCGCAAATTCTAGATTGTTTAAAGCGGTTTTAACGTCGTTATTTAAAATTAGATTAAATAAAGTCTAATATGTACTGTCATACTGATGGCGTGTTATCCTGTATATCATGCGAGTCATAGATCAAATTGTAATGAATACTGATAATATCAGCATAATTGATAAATAAACAGAATGCTAATTGAAGTAGGAATAACAAGTTGTAATCTGAATTTATGTAGCTTTCAAATTGATCAAACTTTGCATAAGTTTATAATGCAATATGAAACGGAATTCAGTGAAAATAGAACACAAAACTTTCAAAAGTTTCGAGAAGCTAAAGAAACAAAAACAGAATTGAAGAAGATTATGTAATTATTTCACAGCAAATACAATGCATAAGAATGACGACCTCACTTTTGACTTCCGAATAAAATTGGAAACTTTAGAGCTTCTAATTACTTCGCCAAGTTTTTACTACAGTGCTTTTCAGAGTGTTGTTATGCAGCAAACGAAAACGTCTCTTTAAGTGGTTTTCCTATATCGTACTTAAGATTTCTTTGAATTTTCTGTTATTAAATTTAAGAAAATAAACAAAAATAAAATAAAGTTTTCTAAATTTTGTTAGCACTCAAATTTTATTTATATGTATTAATATATTAATAGAAACATATATTTTATTGTTATACGTAAATTTTAAGTAAGATAAAAAAATACAAACATTGATTACTTGTTCTCTCAATACTATATTTAATATTTTATGTCAAAATATATAAAATTTTATATGCATAACTCAGAAACAAGATAAAATAAATAAAATGTTATCCAGATAGCAAAACACACATTTTGTTTACTGAATAAATGTTGCACACATAAATACTTTGAATTTCAATGCAACGCATTGATATACATAAACACGACCGTCAACAGCATCTTTAATCTCTACTGCGAGCTAACTATGGAGAGCGATATTCAATCCGCCTCGCCACAAACTTGTGCCATCCGACGGTAGGAGTAAAACCGAGGAATAGTGCGACCACGAATATTTTAAGAGATATAAATTAATACTATAAATTTTAAATTTTGCAACATGCCTATGAGCTTGTTCATTTTTGCTTATTTCTTACGTTATGTATTATTTCTAAACAATGAAAAAACTGTTACCTTCGCAATATTTTTATTACAGAAAATATTGAATTAAAATAAATCAGAATGTCTGTTAAATAAAAAATAATATAGAATTTCATAGTTTTTAAATAATAAAAAAATTCTTATAATAATTTAACAGAAAGAACAATATTACGTTATACAACGCGAATATTTTTTCCATTTACAATTGCCTTATTGTGACGTTTGTATCGTAATGACCGCAAATTCTACCAGTTGAGCCACCCATCCCTATGAAGTCGACTCCATTGTCAGTAACATTCATAAAGCTCGTTTCTTTTTTTGGATCGACTCTCGTTTGCCTTCACCATCGGCTATTCAATTTTCTCGTAAACAAGCCATTTTTTTCCCATAAAAAGTAACAACCGATATGGAATACATCATGAAGTCCCCCCCTCCCCCACTCCGACACATACAATTACGACGCATCACGCGCGTAAGGGCGATCGATCCGATTGAGAGAATGCGAACCTGGACGGTATAATTGGCAATCACGTCATACGATAGCCTCACAATCCGACATCGGATATTATAAAGGACGGCGTACATCACAGAGATTGACTTTAATATTGTGTTAAATCATGTGAATTGTCGATAACAAGAACTGAAAATGGATTTATTTGAAGGGAAACTTTATCCCAGAGCGCAAATCTTTTCCGAAATTTTATTAACACTTTTCTATAATTTTCATGTTTCTTTTTTTGTTCAAAATTCATATAAATACTTAATATGGTACATTTTGTATAATAAGATCTAACTTAAAATTGATTCACGAATTATGCAATTTTTCTTTTTGTGCTTTTATAAATCATCTTTATGCAGAGTCATTTTCTTCATTTTATTATCATAATGACGCTCTGCTCTTCAGGAAATAATTATTTGTTTATTATGATGGATGAATCAATTCTGTTACATAATTCGGATAAATCGAAACTCGAAAATATTGAAGAAGCAGCTGCGGATAGCAATAACTCCTGTCACTGATAAATTACACATAGCACGTTGAGGGACGAGACACTTTCGTGAATCAAGATATTTGCATTCGACTTACGAGTAACCATTTTAGAGCCCGTCCCTCGTTCGCAAGGGCTTAAGCTCAATCTACCAGAATTTGTCGATCTATTAAAATGTGTGATGCAATATGTGTCAAACGTGATTTATTCACGTAGACTGATTTACTATAGCACTAAGAAAAAACAAATTACAGAGGACGCGCACATAGCAAGAGTATGTAAAAAATAGAAACGCATCAAAATCAATTTTAATATATATAGCAAATAAATATTGATCGCCATAGTGTTGTGAGTAATCAAGTTTGTGTAGAAGTTTGCATTAGCTCAAAAAAAATATCTATCCTAAAATAGTTTTCAACTGTCGTACAAAATGAGAAATCACTCGCGACTACAACTGTCATAAGCACACAGCGACGGGCAAGCTATTACATTTACAAACATATGTACACGCGCGACTTTACGATGAGATGCTTCGAGGCGGACATGAACGATGGAATCCGAAAAAGATACATATAATACATCCTGAACAAGAACAGGGTTTCATAAAAGTGAATCGTGGTCCGACATTTCATTCGACGATCGCCAAGATTCCGAGTTTCGATATCTAGTTTATACGAGAATTTCTATCATTTTCAGTACAAACTACTAAAGAAAAAGTCATGACCGATAAAATATGCTATTTACCGATAGATAAAATATGCGATGTGAAAAATTTCAATCATAAATCGCAACAAGATAGCATCGACAGAGCATGATATATAACTATCAACGATATGAATCAATTCAAACATTTTTAACGCTGGGAAGAGTTTCTCCCCTTTTTTTAAGACTATCAAGATTTTATAAATTAAATGACAGTGAAAATTTAAGAACTAAACTATAAACAGAATTTTTAAAAATACAAATCAGATTACTAATGCATAGACAAAATGTTGTTGCGGAATGTTGTAATATAATTTTATAGGGTGTACATGCAAAAGAAAATGACAGAGAGAATAATTTTGAATGAGAATAAATTTCCATACAAATATCTTTCTTTGTTTTCCATAATATGAAGATTTACATATTTTTTGAAGGAAGAATGTAGATACGCGTATCAATTTTCACCGCCCAAGAATCATCATATACGTTATATGTAAATACTGCGCAGTGAAATTACCTGTGGTAATATTACGGCAAGAAAATGGTGTGACGGTGGAGGAATTGAGGAAAGTATAAGTATAAATGAACACCATGTACGTAAACCTCAAGCAGAAAGTCATTTTGAAATAAATTGTGGAGCGGCATATAATTTAACGTCGCGCTTTCGCATAAATGTTGAATGTGTTATAAAATTTTCTGCGACGTGAAATATAATATGAAACATGTTGCTTCCCGTAACAATAAAAGATGCATATATTATGGCACATATAAAGTTGAAAATATCATCGACTGATATTGTATATTTTCATTATTTTTAAATTATTATATTAATGATATTAAAATAACAATTGTACAAATTGATTGGACTTACCGGCACGATGCGCAGCAGCGGAGTTGTTTACAAGTTGATCTGTAACAAAGTACATCTAAATTATAACAATGTTCAAAAGAATGGTTTGAAAAACAAGTATTGTGCACATTAAACTTTTTAATAACAACAATATAATAGTTACGTACAAGACACATGTTATATTGCAATAACGTTATTGAGTGAAAAATTATAATATTGATGTTATGTTATTGTTGGTTAGAAAGTACAATATTTGCTAGGATGTAAATACTAACCTTACAGCTGTTCCGCCGGCACCCGATGCCCTTCCTGGGCCTCCTTGTCCTCTCAGTCTTTCAATCCTTAAAGCCCTTCAAGGCACTGACACTCTCACACAAGCACTCTCACACACCTTCGCGACCGAAATATAAAAAAATTGAAATTAAAAACGCACATACTTTTAAATACAAAATAAATACAAAACGCACGGTATTTTTAACGGCAATATCACCACGTACTTTGTCACTTGGGACAAAACTGTGAAACTCGAATATCTTCGCACTGATCACACGATACGGTTACGATTCGACACCATCCGCATCCATAACAGACAACAACGAAAAAAGATTGAAACCTTTGAAGAGTAAAGGCAATACTATGAAAACAAATAGCTATGCTGATATGGAACGATCCGATGCAATCAAGTGTCAGAGATATCGAAATGTAGACACAGTTTACACGTAACAATCGAGAATCGTATACATGTGCTGCGCTCTATGTGTTCTCGATTGTTGCGTGTCAACCGCGTCTACATTCCGACGTCTCCGGCCGCCATGCGAATAATAACAGAATAATAAGATACATCAAGGACAAAGTGCACCGATTCTGATTTCAAAGGATGCGGAACAGAGAACAACAATATACATAGTGATACATAGCACAAGAAAGAGAGAAACAAGAGAGATATAGAGCACACAAGCTACAGCGCAAACGAACAAAACAAACCTCACCAAACATCACGCATCGATCTCGAAACGCATGGTATGAAAAATATTTTACATATTACAAGATATTTCTTGCATTTGATATTTTAATTACGATTTATTTATTTTACTTTTATTGTTATGAAAAAATTGTCTCAGAGTAAGGTAAAAAACCAGTCGTTAAAAAATAATGCACAAAAAGTGAGAAACTGGTACACGGTTAAAATAAGTTTACACATTTTGTGATTATGTATGTGCATTGTAATGCAAGGAACGATATACTTCAATATATGTGCCGCAATTTCAACCAATCTCACGCAAAAGCTATGAAAAATAGCCGACTATTGTGAAAACTCGAAACTGTCGTACTAACGACTTTGCATGCAAATGCGTCGTTAGTAGTTACTTGAAGTTTCTAGAAAATACATTTTACTAGTTTTGTCATTGCAGTCAGCATTGACTATTTCTCGAAAAGTTGCGTTATTACTGAGATTAAATACACATTGAAATGTTTTATTTTTCATGCAGCGACATTATAGAAATTGCGAAATTGTGCGCAGGATATTAAATCACAATATTCATGATCGATATAGAAAAATTACTTGTTCATTATTTTTAGTAGAATAACGCTTTTATCATAAATTAATTTGGCGGCTTACCTATAAATACGTTCTACGAAGTGATTGTTTCCAACAGTGACGTTAATTCGATTTACTCAATAAAGGATTGAAGAAGTTATATTTAGAATATATTTAACAATTGATTTGCAGAGAATAATAATACTGAAAAAATATCCAATAAATAAAAAGAAATTACTTTTTCAATAAGTGAACTATATTTTATTAAATTATAGAATTCTAAATATCATGAAAAAATGTAATTCTTCATAATAATTGCGTCATTTCAAGATATTAAAAAATAGCATTACTTTGACTTGATGAATACAATAAATCATAACTGTAATATGAAAACATGTTTAGCATATTTCCGCATCTCGCCTGTTGCAATTTACTATAATTTATTTAAATTGCACTACTCACATCAATGAAATAATATTGTTTTAATATTTAGAAATATAATTTATGTTCAAATATTAAATAACTTGCAATAAATGAATAATGACAAGTTTAATCTAATCGAATATTTAATTATCTTTTAAATAGTAACATAATTTAATTTAAAAAATTGAGACTTAATATCATACTTAATATCATACAAGTGGTTTATATTAAGATTTGCTAGAGATTTAATTATTGAAAAAGTAAAGGATTATATTGTATAGAATATAATTTGTGGATGCCCAAAAATGAGAAAGCAATATTGCTTCGAGATTTTTATTAAAATTTTTACCAGAAATTTTTACAGATCGTTCATTTATACTGACTAATGTCAAACAAACCCTGGTAGAAGTTTGTGCAGTTTGACTGAACACCCGACCATTTACTATCTAATATTACTGGGTTTTCTTTATATACAAAAATACTGCATCGCAACTAGGCAAAATTAGTTAAAGCAATTTTATTATACAATATTATTATATAATATTATATTTTATTGTATAATAAAATTGCTTTAACTAATTTTGCCAAAAATATATTTTAACAAAATATATCACATATCACCATTAAAAGGTTTTTGATCAGTTTTTAAAATAAAAAGTTAATAAGTTTGTAAAATAATCAAGTGTAAAATTAATAAAAATGTGTGAACGCGTGCAAAAATATAGGGCAAAGAAAAAAACCTTACAGAATTAAAACAGCTTAGAATACGTAATTTGCATAATTCTGTCATAAAAATTTTAACAGAGGTTAAAAGTGACAATTGTCAATTATCTATTTATTGCCCTTCTACTGCTAAGTAACTGAGTTCAGATTTTGTACATTTTTTCTATGTAGTAACTGCGCGAAAAGCGTTACGTCTTGATTGAAATCCTAACAGTTTTACTGTTCAATTACTAGGGAGAAGCTAATATAACTGCCTAATAACCAATCGAAAACTGCATTAAATTTCTACCAGGGAAGCTAAAACAAAATTAGAGAAATGTCGACCGACGACATGCACGGTTACAACTGTCTACAGTGCGCTAACTATAATTGGAAGCAACACAAATTAGAGACGAAGCAGAGAACGCACATTTTCTCTGATGCAGGCCAGCAGGTTTTAGTCTGTGCATTTCACTGCTGTAATAGCTTCATTTATAAACAATTTCAGAATTACATAAGTAAAATCTTTTCCATGTATTTTCAGCAAAAAATGCAAAATAGCAAATTTTTTATCGAATATTACATAAGATTTAATCATTGCTCAACACAAGCTCAAGAGAATTATATTGTATATGATATCATATTTCTGACAATTGCAAGTAATTTTTAGAAATAATATATCGCTGTAAATATACACACAATACGATGCACATTGCGTCAATTTATTACAACAAAAGACACTGACTGACACTTTTTTGCGCAAAGTGATAAGGCATATTGGGCATTACTACGTACGTTTTATTATATTGTTTATAGCGAAGGTACGAAAATTGCGCGGTAACGCAGACGTTTATTTTTCTTTCGCCATGCTGAGCAAGCAACAGTCACTCATCTATTTATAACGCCACCGTACTAACCACCATCCGCCGAGTTTATTATCGCGTGTAAATATAGAGCGCATAAAGAATGCCGATATGATGCACGGAACGCTTGAAAATGTTGTAAGAAAAAAATAGGACTGGCGATTATTGATCCGTCCTCTGCAAAAGTCGTATGCATACACGAACGAGGATTACGTAATCTTTGATGACAACGAAATTTTCTTAATTAACGTAGCTTTGTGTCGACCCGCCTATAATCACATTTACTTCCACCGTAATCTGCATATTATTTTCCATCCCTTTGAACCTTCGCTGTCGCTCAGGTTTAATGTTACCATGAATATATAGACAATCGCTGCACATACCTTTATGTTATCCCCGATTAATGACGCATTTATAGTTTGAAGCTTATATTTCTGAAGGGATAAAGGCTCTTTTCCAAAAAAGATTTGTTTGCAAATATTTCCAAAGTAAACATTTCATATTTACTATAATTGCACTACCAGTACAAAAATATCGTAATTGAAAAAAAATTGTACATGCATATATTTTTATTATCTTTGTCATTATTATTACAATGAATGCAAAATGAAGATATATACGTGAGACATGCAGGAAGAAAAACACGTAGTAAAAGTTATACTCTACAATATTATATTGCAATAAAACACTGTCTTTAAAATTAGTTTTCTTGAAAGATTTTTGTAAGAAACTTCTAAATTATAATAGTTTATTTAACATTCACAATACAATATCTACGTACTTGGTATCAGGACTTTATGGCATCCCAGAATTCTAAAGTTTAAATTTCGTTAGCATACCAATAGGTGTATCACTGTTCCTGAGTTTATGGTCTTTAATCCCCGAACAATGAGAAGTTTACAATCCCACCCTTTGTGCGCCAAAACAAGCCTGGAAATCTGTATGTGTTTAGATCAATAGAAGTAAAATTTCTTCCATATATTTAAAATAAAAACTTGCTTTATAGAATTATTATTTTATTGAACTCTTCAACTTTTTCTTAAACAGAAAACTTAAAATTTAAACAGAGAAACAGCTTTTTACGGGGTCAGTGTATGCATAATACAGTTAATTGCGGATGCAGATTTATGCGACATGTTATGCAACGCGCAAAGCATTTGTCATCTGACAAAGTAGAAGGGGGAAAGTCGTCGAACTTGTCGCGTGTCTCGCAAGCTTTCTTGAAATAGCAAGACGGTCGCAAGATGAATGGCCGCAATGTGATCGCTTTTAAGAGATTGCAGGGCTTACATCAAGATCGTGTTCTGTGTACAATAAATATGTTTTTAAACTTTAATAAATCTCCAATATACGTACAAGTCAATTATATATGTATTAATAGAATATTCGCTAATCCTATCACAATGTCGCTTCATCAATTTGCTAAAAAAATCGATAAGTTTACTTAGTTTTCTAAATAATATGATCATTTTTGTGCATAAGGAATTTTATGTGCATAAAGATGCAGATGAAAAATGAAGCGATAAAACCTAAATAATACTAAAACATAAATAATAAAATATTAAAATGTTTAAGACTCAGCTCAGTCCAGGATTCATACTGACAGTCATTATTTATATTAAAACGAAGCAAAATACAATGACATTCAAAAATATATCACACAGTTTTTTTGTCACATCTCAAAAAGAGTGTACTCATCTGCTTCGTTAAGATCTCTAAAAATTTGAGAGAACTTTGATTAAGAACATCATCACAATTCGATAGTAGGCCGCCAAGTACTTTACCGCAATGCAGAGTACAGAATGCAATCTCATATGTATGTATCCAAGTGTGCGCACCATAAATATAACTTTAAGTGCCTTTTATATCGCATAGCATCGATGCTTAAAACCTACAGTGACGTACGCAGTCATTAGCACATGAAATATAATAAAAAATTAAGTTTCTCTCTCCCACTCGATAGAGTATTATTTTTCGAAATGTGTTGCTTTTAATGATATATAGAAAACAAAAGGTGCAACGGTGAGATGACGAATGATTCAAATATTGAAAAATATACTTTTTTTTTAACATTTACAAACTTTTTGATAGATTTTTCAAATTTCTTTTAATGTTGTATTTCTAATTTTTAACTTAAAAAATTTAAAGCTTGTTTTAAAAATGTTTGATTTAGACGTGATTTAGAATGTTAGATTTATTTAAATGTTTTGTCTTACTAAAACCTTTAAATTTCCAAATTGTATCAACGTTTTAATTAATTTAATTGGAGAACGTTTATTTCATTGTAATGTATAATATTTAATGAATAAAGTAAATTATTTTATAAATAAGTTATTTTATAAATAAAGTAAATTAATAAAATACTAATAAAATGTATTTAATTGCAACATTTATTAATCAAAATAATAATTTTTACTTGAAATATTAAATGTGTTTTGCTAAAAATAATATTTGCTAAATATTTCTTCCGTTTTTTATAAATGCTTTATCTTGTTAAGTGAGTGATATTTCGGTTATCTATATATATACATACTTTTTTTTTCTTGTGACCATAAACCAGAAAGATTTGCAAGTGACCTAGTTTTTTTCATTATTATTCTAGTCGTACATAAAAAGATATCATCGTCCCAGTTCGACGTCATATTCTATATAAATCGTATACAGTGAGGCAATTACATGCACTATATGTATTTTTACCGGAAATAACACCAGAAACAAAGTTAACACTTCAATGACAGCTTCCAAAAGTTTCTATAAAGAAAATTAAATTTCCAAAATTTTATCATTTTTTATCAGAAATGTTGGCACCGTTTAATCGACGGTTTCAATGCCGTGTTGCTTGTGCAGATAAGTGCGATCACAAAGAATAACGATTTCCTTTTCTATAGTGTGAAGCTTTGCTCTATCAAGCACGGCGAAATGCTTCGATGCGCGTGAAAGACTTAAAAGAGAAAGCCCAACTATTCTTTCCCCGATGAAAATATTTTTCACAGCATTTAAGTTGTTGCATTCAGTGGTGTGTTTATAAATGAATGTCAATATTGGAAAAATTAAAAATTACAAAACGCAATTAATAAAGTTAATTATATACACATATAAATATTGTGAATATAATTCTAAAATGTTATAATAGGAATTAAAACAATAATAACAATTGTAGAACGAAAAATATATAATAATGAGATATAATGCAATATATGTGTATTGAATAGAGGATTATTGATGTTTAAAATTCTATTGAATTACTATTGATATGTGATATTGCTTCAACAATTAAAGCATACGAATCTAAATATCAATATTAGTTTTATCAAAGCATGTCAATTAAATTCTGCGGAATAAATTTTTTTAGAATCTCTCACACAATGTGTGAACTTTTCTTCGATTTTACGCTACTGTAAGCGTGCGGAGCCGTTGCAGAACATATTCGTAGAAGGCCGCAGACCGTATAAAGGCGGCCCCATGTAAACCGCAAGCTCCATTTGCTGCTCGCAAGCTCGCGGCTAGCGAGCCAGACTGCCGGAGTTTTGTCCGTTGTATTTTCGTTGGCACGATACCGGGTACCGCGGTACACCGCGGCCACGCAACCCGGAAAGGTCAGCTGGCATTACGTACGCCACTACGTACTGACGATAGGAGACGTATAGGACACCTGTGCAAATTGCTTGGACGACTCTTTTATCGTACGATTCTTATCGGTCATGCGAGCTTCTTACGAATGTGAAGTGCACTTGTGCTCCAATTTGAGTAGACGCCGGCGGCGTCGTGATATCCGAGTGACTCTCAAGAGTGCGAAATAAATAACATTTTTATTGCAATCTTTTTAGATAAAAATAATTATTTATAAACGTAACTATCTGCGCAACTTAGTTTTCCAGACACTCGATTTTTTATTGCGATATTTATTATTTTCAAACTGTGCGTGAAATAAATAGCAAGTCTTTAACAAGTCTTTAAATCAATACGCGATTATTTCGGAAATTATATTATTTAAAAAAATTATACTAGAAATTATATTTAGAGAGATGCATTTATTTTTAAACTGACGATTCGTTTTACTCTCATTACAGTTATGACCTAGAATGAGTTCACAAATGGATCATCGAAGAATAACATCGACGGGATGCAAATAAAGTGCATGATTGAATAATGCATTGTGAAGCGGTGATTTTACGCTATCATTGTTATGATATAGCCCGAGAAGAAGGATGCAGCACGGAAAAGGAGGATAGAAAACACGGAACGCTCGAAAAGGTGTATGTACAGGTAATATAGTAGTTTTTTATCCTATATTATATTTCAAAAGCTCTATCTCAAGTTTCAGAAATCTATCTTTCTGCAAAATTTTGTGTAAACTATTGCGAAAATATAAATTAAGATGTCAAATGTTTATTTTAGAAGTTTATTTCGTTTAAAAGTTTACTTTTGAGTATTAAAAACTAAAGAATTTGTAAAATTTTAATTAAATTCTTGGCTCTTGTAGCTTGTTTTTCCCTTCAAATTATTAATTAAATTCTCTAGAAAAAAATTATTTTATCGTAGAATTCCTAAATTAGATTTTTGCTAATTATATGCGTAGATCACTGGTGTCTCGTTTTTGCATCGTAAAAAGACACGGCTACAATAAAAAGCAGAAGTGGAGACGGACACGTGTGCGGAAGGATACGCGGTCCATATCCGGCCCGCCATCCTGGCGGCATGGTCCTTTGGGCCACAATACTAATCCTTCAAGGAGCTGGATTCGTAGGTAAGCAATGAATCGCATGATTATACATAATTAATAGAAAACAATCAAAATTTTTCACAGAAAACTTAGTCAAAAATATATTCATGTCTGAAAGACATTTATAATTCTTGAAAACAAAGATAAAAAAATTTTTTTGTTTTACAATTTGAAATATAACGCTAAAACAAAAACATATTGCTGTTTGACGTATTTGCAGCAGTTTTTTTCATCTAAAATATAAAAACATTTTTTAAATTTTTATTAATTATGAGTATTGCTTTTTTATTTTGTATCAAAATAAAAAAGAATTACATTGTAAAAATTGTACAATTTTAAAAAACACAAATTTTTTATCAAAAATTGTGATTTTAACATTTATTAACAAATTTAAAAGTATTGGAATGCTTTCGATGATTCCGCTTTGAGATGATTTCAAGAAAAAAATTCAAGTCAATTGAATTACTTTTCGAAAGATTGTGTGTCAACATTGTGTATAAAAAAAGTTTCGAAAAAAAACGTGTATAAAATTTAGGATGGAGTTTTGTTTATGCATCGCAGTTTATAAACATCTGTAGCCTTCTTTTTTTTTTGTATTTTGAAAAAATCTTTAAAAGTTTATTTTTTAAATATCAAGAAATGTGATAAAAAAAAGTTTACTTTTAAAACATTTTTAAAGTAAAATAACTCCTTAAACAAGAGTTTGACATGATCAATGAATTTATAAAAAGAATTGGCAATAGTTTGCGGACATCCGGCATCTCTAGAAGCGGGTATTATCCGAAGATTGACAGGTACTCCGTCTTGTTTGTTCGTAGGCTCGGTGACAGGCATCCCCGGCGTCCCGGAAAACATAACGGTGATGTTCTTGAATCCGACGTCTGTGCGCGTGTCTTGGAGCACCAGCCAGGTCGAGCAGGTCGAAAAATATGACGTCACATACAAGCCAACAGACGCCAGGTGCGTTCTAGTGATTCCGATATTGCGAATCGGACGCGTGAAAGAGGACTCACATTTTATATGTACAAACAGCATTCGAACAAAAACACCTATTTCACGCACGCGTTCCGTCGAATATTGATTTCTTTCAAAACAAAATTGAAATTTCTCCATGAAAAATACGCTCAAACTCGATTACGTTCTTCATAATGCATTTAATTTAATTTTTGTTAACTATTGTTCTTCATAGATAATACTTCACAAAAGTTTAGGCTTACTGAATGGTTCTAATATTTGACACACATATTTTTCAAATTATTTTTAAGAATTTACATGAGTTATATCGTTCACTTTTATTTAAAAAATTTTAATTATTCGTAAGAAAAAAGGTAAATCTTGGAATTGAATATTGGATATTACTTTATCATTCAAACATAATTGAGAACGCAAAGAACATTATTTTTTTAATTCACATTTTTTTTATTTTTTATTTTTCTTGTCATTCGTGACAATTGAGACACAAACTTATACGGATTGCGACAAAATGCCGCATTGCAGACGTTTAGGCTTATCGAAACTGGGATATATATGTAAAAAGTTTAATAGCTGCAATACGGAATGTTGCTGCTAGTGCAGACTGTGCTATAGATATCGACACTTATTGTTGGAAAAGGGTCGAAAAGGCAGTAAGCAGGTCGTGTTGTGCGTGATACGCGTGTCTCGTGTGCATGTCGCGTTTAACACCTATTACACCCTATTACACCCTCGGTAATTTTCTTTAATTACCGAGAATGTCTCACGATATTTAAATGTCATTGTGCATGCCATTCTCACAAAAGCGAAAATATTAAAGATACATTTATTAATCCGTTGAATTACAATTTTATATACAGAAAAATACGTAAAGTGTTTACAACATATACGTATATTTATTATTCTGTAAATGTCAGTAAGTAAAATTTTTCACTTTTTAAACACATGTTTATTTATTCAAAAATTTTTTATTTTAATCTAAATTAACGTTAAATTTAATTAGTAAAACATAGTTAAACCCTTAAGTTAATTTATTAAAGTTTTCTGATTTTAAATTGCAAATATTTATGAAAATATTTTTATCTTTATTATGTTCGGAATTATATTGTAAGTTACACTAAATATTACGTACAAAATATTATTCCAATGGTCAACATTTTTTCTAATCTATAATTTAATTGCAGCAGAATTTAATTCAAAATAATTCAAATATTAAATTTAAAAATTCTATAGTATAAACTGCAACAGCAAATTAAATAACATGAATGACAATAAAGCATGACATCATAAAGAGATAAATTAAAACTTATGAATTCTCATTTTGTACGTATCTTTTCTTTATCGTCTTTTTCTTATCATTTGTTATCATTTCCTTTATTACGGAATAATTTATGTACTTCCTGCAGAGCCTTTGATTTAATATTCACGCGAAAATACATCATGCGCAGTTTAAGCGGAACAGACTTATGTTAGAAAAACAATTAGCGAATAGAAACACATGTGTAGTCCGCATGTGTTTGCTTTTCACCGATGAATCGCATCGTAACGGATGATTCTCGTCCAGATGAATCATGTCGTGACGGAAGATTTAGATAGACTGCGGAAATTTATAGGAACGGTGAAACTGGCGGGATGATAAATTTGTCAATCAATACTGATCGATATTCATATCAATTCAAAGAGGACTATTAATTAAAATTTTCACCTCTTTTTGTGACACAGGAATTGCTTTTCCTTCAAACGATGCTTGACCTGTCTGAGTGCTCATCAAAGATTCCATATTATAATTCATGAGCCCAGTTTTTACACTTTACATATTAAATCCAATTTTCATATTTTAGGTTCTGAAAAGCGCTCATCGCAATATAGACAGAAAGCATTATTTTTTTTATTTTGTCGGATTACTTCTTTTTATTCTTTCAGCAGCCAATATGTCGATGTCAGAGCGCAATAGTATAGCTATATAGCCATAATTATAATAAAATATGACTACTTAACACATTTGTTTTTAAAAGAGGAAATTCAATAATAATAATTTTATGATAAATGTCTCATTATTTCCAAAAATCGTAATGCTTTTAAAATAAAAAAAAAAATTTTTTTTTTTAATATCAGTATTTTTATTGATAGTTTTCTTGGATAAGAAGACATATTTTTTTTTCATAATTTTCTACAAATTGCATTAACCCTAAGATTAGGATAGGTGACAGATACCAGACACTGAAATATCCCGTTTTATTTAAATACTCCATTTTATTTAACTCTTCTCTATCATAAAAACTACACTAGAAACTATAAAAATATTAATAGTAATCTGATAATATAGTAATATTACTAGCATTAAAAACGAAAAATTAAAATAAAGATTCACGAATAACATTTGTAATTTAAACACGTGTTTAACACTTGAAATGTCTCTATGAAAATATTTCAATTGAAGTAACGATTTTGAACGCAAAACATCGCATCATAACGGCAAGGTGGTTAGTTACAGGGTGGTGGCGGTGGTCGCAGGAAACAGCGAAGCAGTCACCTTGAGCGGCCTTCGGGCTGACACGCAATATCAACTGGTTGTAACTGCCGTGAGAGCTGGAAAGAAGTTCCGAAGTCGACCGATCGTCTTCCGTACACTCGGTAAGCTTTACCCATCTCCGTCATCACGGTCACAAGTGACAGGTGCGTTCTGATAAAGAGAGAAATAGTTTTCTAATAACGTAGCAATTGTAAGCATCTATCATGAATACGTAATCCGCAATTATCTGTTCTTCATTATTTATTCATTAATCTTTGAACAAAGCTGCAAGCCATGTTTCAAAGTATTACTGTTCTAGCGTACAATTTATACATTGTATGCAGCTTGGTTTCCGCTTCGGATTAAAATTTCTTTTTACAGAAATAGTTTTAATCAAGATTCAGTTTGGATAGATTTTGTTCATATTTTTTATACAAAAATATTACAAGAGAATTTAGCGATAAATAAATATATTATTGTTTTATTATTTTAAATATTAAAGTACGTAATATAATTATACTTTTTTGTGAATATTATGTACATAATTAAAACATTTATCAACGAACTTAAATTAATTTATTTAATCTTGCAGTTTTATTTGGAGGCAGCAATGCTACAAAGAGTATAAATTTCAATTAAAAAATTTTTCTCAGAAACTAATTTTTTATGCTTATTTGAGCCTTTTTAATGATCTCGTTATACACGGTGCATAATTATATATAATGCATAATGTTTATCAAAACTATTTCCCGACATGACACTGACGCGTGAAATATCGCATAAAATTCCGCAGCGATAATTTATGCGGTGTGTAATTTGGCGATGAAGTGACATCATGTAAACGAACGTTGTATGTAAGAACATTGTATTGCTATTTTCAGAGCCACCACGCACGTCACCGCAGCAAGATAACACGGTAACCGGTGGTCCTCTTCCTCCACCTCCACCGTCCTCGCAACAACCTCAACCGTATATACAAGTAAGCTACTTTCTTCTCAAATCTCGTACTATGTATCTCGCAATTTACTCAATTAGCTTTGATATCTATAAACAGTGCGTCTTGCTCTTTCCATGAGGTAGCTTGATTTTAACGTTATACTACTATATGTGACTGTGCGATGTACATATAATGGCAATGCAGAAAATTATTCCAAAATAAAGATTACATACTGGAAATGCGTTTTTTAGTAGCATAATAATGCAAAAAAGCACGCAGCTAAAAGGTTAAATAGTCAAACGCAAAATTTTGCTTTTAGAACGTTATCTTGCGTTGAAAATACTTCTTTATTCTAATATCGAGTGAATATCTACAGTTTGTTTATTTGTTTGCAACAGCGAGCGAGTTAAGTTCTGTTTAATATAGATACATATATGTAAACGTTATAACTCTGAATTAAGGATTTTCTTTAAAAACATGTAAAATCAAGAGCAAGGTTCAAACGAAAATATTTGTCTTGAAAATAGAAATCAATTTATCATGTCACAGGATGCAATATCCACATATGTACATAAAAAATATCGAAATAGAAAAACAGTAGAAAAAAACGATTGGAATAAATGGAAAGATTTCTTTTACTGATATTCGCAATGTTTGAATTATTTTCTCAGATCTCTGCATATACCCTTACAACAGTCTATAATATAAATCTTTCTTGGAAAAATTTTTCTTTGTCTCAAAGGTTAGATATTTACATCGAATAACTTTATTTGCATTGTAGAAATATTGGCTGGAAGATTCTTATTTGTTCTTATAATATTGATGACGTAATATAAAAATAAATTTTTTTGTATAAATTTTCCGCAAATATAATTTTAAAAAATTAATTCTTATACTGCGTATCAAAAAATTCGCGAATAAATTGTATATTATAGCGAGAAAGATTTCAAGAAATTAAGCAAAAGTCGTTTATAAAATTAATAAGACAAAAAAAATGGAATTTCTAGTAGAATAGCCATATAAATTCAAAGAATAAAATACTAAAGCACTTTTTTTTATTTTATTGCATCAGTGTATTAAAAGAGAATATTCGCGATATTCATGAAGCTGTAAAGACGAATCGATCCGAGTAAATTATTCTAAAGACTGCAATTTGCTCTACTTTCAGATCCGCGGCGTCGAGGTGGGCATAGTAGTGTTAGTGCTGATAGTTTGGGCGGGCGCGATAGCGTTGTTCTTCAATCGCTGGGGCAAGATCCGCATGCTGCTGCCTTATCAGCCCGATTACAAGGAGCAGCTCAAGGTTCCCGGCACCGGTGTATGCACGGCTGCGAACGCCTCGTACACCCAGCATCCGACGCAGCACGCGTGTTCTCAGGTAACGCATAGGTATATTGCACTCGTGATCCAACGAGCTCTATGCTCGTTGCTACGTCAATTTTGCACAATTTAAACAACGTCTAGGTAGCGTTTGAACTGGGGAAATCCAGTGGATTAATCTATAAGATTAACTTAATGCTCAATAGATGAATTAAGAAATTTTCTCTTATTGCTAAGAAATTAATTTATAATAAGTCATTAATGGATTTGTCTATTAAAATTATTTTAATAGATTGATCGGGATCCATTAATAGATAGATCTTTCAAAGATATCTTCGAAGATATTTCTTTGATATCTCAAATAGTTCAATCCTTTCGATACAAAGAAAATCAGCGGCGTGTACACACTGCCCTGATCTTAGGCACACTCGCTGATTTACTGTTACAGATAAACTGTGTTAAAAAATTTGATTGAACAAATTGAAGGCACCTAGCCTACAACTAAAAAAAAGAGCGAAAAAAGTAATAACTTAACAATAAATTAACACGCCAGCCAATTACTTTGTGCTTTTATGCTTCTGTGTCGAAAGGATTAAGAAATACAAGATGCAGAGTAGTAATCATGGTATTTATTATCAATGGTGCCATGATTATTAACGCATCTGTATATGAAGAAGAATCGCAAGTCGTCAACAGTTTAAAACTCTCTGTTTCTTTATAGCAATTGAATTCTAAATTCTCAATTATTTAAATATATATGAAAAGAATTTATCGAGTTTCTTGGGTAAAACAATAATCGTAAATGACAATAAATTATAATAATTGAATAATTTTTTCTTAGATCGTAACTTTTAGATCTTAAAATACATCATCGCGTCGAAGTTGAGTTTACAATTCCTCGTATTGATTTTCTTTTACGATATTATCGCAGATCTAATATAATTAATCAAAACAATTGAATTAATTTATAATGAATTTTTCAATACTGTGGTAATTAATGAAAAAGGAACTTAATAAATATTATTTCAATTTAGAATAATCTTTTATGGTATTTGAAATTGCGTATTTTTAGTATAATAATATTATTATATATTGAGAAAATGATGATAGAGCGAAAGAGAAGGAGAGAGATATTTCGCAATCAACATGAGTCGATCTACCAATTTAAATATTGAAATTTCCAAGTCTCGGAGAATATATTCCGTTGAAAATCGTCTTATGCTATCTATGCGAAACATGAATCCAGCGAGGATATAAGCTTTCCGTACGAAGCTGAAAATCGTATCTGACGTCGGATGTCTAACATACGTTTTCTCGAAATTCCGAACTTCGCATGATATTGGTACTCTATTACACATATAGGGCGGACGTGATGCAATCTACATTAGGTATGCGATGTGAGCTTTTGAGTGTCGCGCACGGTATAAACGATCGTATTGTCAGCAATGCAAAATTTGAGTAATGTTGGTACATGGTCAGAAACACGCGGAATTGAAAGCGCAAGCAAATTGCGTTTCCACAGGTTATTAACGTACCTCAAACACTGGTTCACTCACTATATTCGAGCGAAACCATATTCGTGCAAGGGTGGTCAATCACACATATTGCAGCTTGATATGCAATCGGCTGGGAATATTCATTTTCTAAATTTTTTCGTAATTTGTTCGCGAATTTTACCGCACATTTTTGATGAAAAACGCGAGTATTTGAAAAAGATTACTTTAAGGCTTCACTGATAACCCTAAAATTTAAAATGTTAGTTTAGAGTAAAATATCCGATGTTTGGAAGGTAAAAATTCCAATAATTACGGTGTATATAATTTATACATGCAAAATCATAAAAACTACATAAGAAAGTTTGATTTCGGTGAAAAATAATTGATTTTTTATAGTTTGTTTTGTGTTAATGCAATTCTTTTACAAAAGAATTATTACGAATGAACAAAATTCAAATGTATTGAAATGTTTCAACAAAAATAATTCTTTCAATATAATGCGCGTAAGGATTAAAATGTAGATTTTTTAAATTAAATATAAAATTTTGCTAATTTGCTTTAATTAAATACATAATTTCGCTAATTTTATTATTTTTTATAAATATTGTGTAATTATATATATAATTACATAAAGTGCACAGCATTTAAAAAATCATCGGTACATATTGCATTGCTGAAAGTGACAAATATAACGGGTATAATGATTATTTAAATTTTAGTTATTTATAATTTTTATTATGTAAATAGTTATGTATAAAATTAATTTTTATTCTAAACCTAAATTTTGCAATTTAATTTTTAATAATATAGATTGATTGTGTGAAACTTTATGAAAGTTTTCTAGTTAATGCTATAAACACGTTTCTATAATACAATTTTAGTTATATATATATATATA